TTTTCCCCAATTGCAATCTTCTTATTTAGGCAACTTTCAAATTCAAATTCACTCATATTCCAGATTTCAAATTTCAAATTCAAATTACAACAAATTTAAAATTTAAAATTTAAAATCCAACAAATTTCAAAATTCAAATTCAAATTTCTAATCACAAATCTCAAATTCAAAATTTAAAATTCTAATTCAATTTCAAATTCAAAATTTAAAATTCCAATTCAATTTCAAAAATCTCAAACTGCAAAAATTTCAAATTTTAAAATCTCAAACAACAAAATTTCAAAAATCTCATACTGCACATTTAAAAAAAAATCTCAAACTGCAAAATTTCAAATTTCAAGAATCTCAAACTGCAAAATTTCAAACTTTAATAATTTCAAATTTTCATAAATTCAAATTTTCTAAATTCAAACTTTCAAATTTTAAAGTTGGTCAACAATCAAATTTATGTGACAGATAAGTGCAGATATTCAATATAGAGGTTCGAGAGACAATCATAAACTTATCTTTGTAACATTTCCCTGTTCATCTAGCTTGTTCATGTACACCCATTTAGCTTCAATAACCTACATTAATTTCTTATCCTTGATAATTACCTGCAACATCAACATACAAATCTAGGTACCCTTTAATTATTTTTGGGTCCTTAAAAAGGTTAGTAGAATCACAAGTCTCTGCCAAAAGACTAAGGATTAAAAGAATATAACCATGATATAATAATCGATTATCACAACACCTTCAGAATCAACATAATTGATTATGATAACAAGAAAAAAAATTCCGATTCTGATAATCAATTAGATGCTCAAACTATCATCTAGACATGTATAAATGTTTTGTTCCTTTAGGCAACCATTCATATTTGCTATTAGATATGCCAAAATGTTTTATGTAACATCTATTTGATGTATGACCTATTTTCATGCAATAAAAACATGTTGGTTTTCTTTGAAAAGGTCTAAATGAGTTTCTTAAAGTTTTTGAAACTGGTTTCACATCTGTTTTCCTTGACTCTTTCACAAAAATAGTTTTATGAGGTTCTAGACTTTCTTTGGGTTTGTAACCAAGTCCAACTTTGCTAGAATTCCCTCTTTGATAACCTAATATAGAATCAATATTTTCAGAAGATTTTGAAAACTTGCTTATTATTTTCTCTAACTTGAAAATCTCATTTTCCAAATGATTACAATTTTCACAAGGTTTAGCAACTTCTTTATTTTTAGACAAAGTTTTAAATTTCTCAACATCTTTCTTTAAACACTTATTTTCTTTTTCAAGAATACCAACAATATTTTCTAATGCATCAAACTTTTGTCTAAGTGCATTGTATTTCTTAGATAAATTGGTAAAACCTTCATACATATCTTGATATTCTTTAAACAACTCATCATATTCATTTAAGGATTTTGTACTGCTTATCTGTGATGAGGCTTTATCATCACTTTTTGTCATCAAGCAAAGATTTGCTTGTTCTTCTCCATCACTACTTTCGGAAAAACTCTCTTGTGTTGTGGAAGAATCATTATCCTCCCAAGCAATATAAGTTTTGCATTTGTTCTTATAGGTACCGTTCTTCCCTTTCTTCACATCTTTCTTAAGTTCCAGACAGTCTAGTTTGATATGGCCAGGTTTTCCACATTCATAGCAATGGTTTTTATTTGTTTTCTCCTTTCTTTGCTATCTCTTTTTCCTATTCTTCATAAAGCGAGAAATTGTTTAACAAAAAGAGACATATCAGAATCTGAAAACTTACCTTCATTTTTGCTTTTGTCTTGTGAAGATTTTTCTACTTTTAGAGTTATCGTCTTGGCTTGATTTTGTTCACCATTCTTTAACCTTTGTAGCTCCATCTCATGTTCTCACAACTTTCCAAATAGAGTACCAATATTAATTTCTGTGAGATCTTTTGATTCTATAGTAGCAGTGACCTTTGGTTGCCAATTCTTGTCTAAGGATTTCAAGATCTTTGTATTCAACTCCTCATTGTCAAAATTCTTTCCTAATGCTTTCAAGTGATTTACTATATGTGTGAAGCGTGTCTGGAAATCCGTGATGCTTTCATTTTGCTGCATTTAAAATAATTCATACTCCTGGATGAGTGTGTTCTTACGTGTTCGTTTTACTTCATTTGTTCCTTCATGTGTTACTTCAAGAATGTCCCATATTTCTTTTGTCGTCTTGCATTGTGAGACCCTGAAAAATTCATTACGAGTTAAGGCAGAAATAATAACATTTCGGGCTCTTACATCATAATGGGAACACTTATTTTCATCCGGCGTCCATTGGTCAAAAGTATTTCGAACAACTCCAGATTCCGTTGTTTTCATCGGAATGTAGGGACCATTGAGTACAACATCCCAAACACCATAATCTAGTATTTGTAAAAATATTTTTATTCTTGCTTTCCAAAATTGATAGTCTTCTCCTTCAAATAATAGTGGTCTGTTTATTGAGGCTCATTCCCTGTAAACCTGATTCTGCATAGACATCTTGGCAAATCGTATAGAAATATCTTCTCTAACCAAGCTCTGATACCACTTGTTAGACAAATGACATCTAGAGGGGGGTGAATAGATGCAAAAATTAAAATAGATGTCAAATTAAAATTTTATTTGTGAGTCAATAATTTGTTTGAATACAGATAAAGCGGAAGCGATAATATAATCAGGAAAAGAGAAAAAGATAAGGGAAAGAGAAGAGCACACAATAATTTACACTGGTTCAGGTATAGCCAACTCTACATCCAGTTTCCAATCAACTTTAATCACAAGAGTGACTCCCAATTCACTATCTTTTAAATTCAGTTTACAAATTACAATCAACTCAGCAGAAGAACCAGTAAAAAGTAAACTAATTAAAAAGACAATCGCTCCTTAGAAACCCACTAAGGATGAACACCTCCCTAGAATCCCACTAGGGATGCACACCTCCTCTGAACAAATCAAAGGATGAAAAACACCTCCTTAGAATCCCACTAAGGATGAACACCTCCCTAGAATCACACTAGGGATGAACACCTCTATGAACAAATCAAATGGATGAAAACACATCCTAAACCCACAAAGGATGAAGGAGTAAGACAAGAACAGTCACACCTGGGTAATGGAGACAACAAATTGTAGAAACTTGTAGAATGTCAATCTCCAAGAACAAGTGTGATTAACAATGAAAGCACAGAAGACAGTAGAGAAGAGGATTTTCTCATAAGGTGTAAAATATATCTGTTTCCTTGCTCAAAATTCTTTTCTCAAAACTGATTGAATGTAAATTGTATTTTCGAATTCTTAATTGTGTGTTTTTTATTTTTCATCAAACTTAATTAAATAGAAAAATAGCATCAGAAAATGGTCGTTGGACATTAATAATATCATAGAGAAAATAAGGATGTATTCAAAAACATTTATTCTTTAAAATGGATATATTTTTCAAATTTGAATTGTCATAATTGATTATGTTATCAATATAATCAATTATGACAGAGAAAATCATTTTTCCATTTCTGATGCATCATAATTAATTATGACAGTGAAAAATATCATGTTATAAAATTTTATCACACTTGTGCTTTGGAGGCTTATGCATAATATTACTTCATCAACATGTACCTCCATATCCAGTATTCTAAGACTCTATCTAGTCTTCAGGAATCATCTTGGGCTTGCTTGAATCATCATCTTTATCAAAAAAATATCTTGGGCATATAGGGAAATGTTTCACATTGTCACCAACGTCTTAAATTCAGTTTGTCCTTAATTTATCTTGAATGTAGTTGACTTGAATCATCATCAAAATCATCTCTTGGGAATGTAGGGACATTTCCATCAATCTCCCCCTCATTGCTTTCAATCTCCCCATTTTTGATGATGATCAAGGAAACACCTAAAATGAATTAAAATGCTTGACTCTATATAATCAGCTCAAGATTAGCATAGTATAGTATCAAGTGTCAGAGTCTCTTAATCTCCCCCTGGATATATTAATAACAAGATTCTCCCTAACTATGAGCAAAGACTTCTCTTAACTCTCCCTGTTTAATTCAGATATAGGAATGAATTTCACACAGATTTTAATTCATAAAAAAATCTCCCCCTGTTTCATTGATAATCATAAAAAATATTATAAGAGAAAAAAAATCTCCTCCTATTTCACACATATTAATATCATCAAAATATATCCTGTTTCATTGATAATTATGAAAAATATTGCAATAGAAATTGAGAACAAATTTGCACATATTAGTATATAAATCAAGGCAGAGAAGATAATGCATTACAAAGTATCATAGAGAAGAACATCATATTAAGGAGGCAATATCTAGGATACCCAAGACAAATAAAGAGAGAGAAAGATAGGGGAATAGAATGATTGTAGAGATAATGGAATGAAATGCAGTAGTTTCCCCCAATTGCAGTCTTCTTATTTAGGCAGCTTTCACATTGTCACCAACATCTTAAATTCAGCTTGTCCTTAATTCATCTTGAATGGTGTTAACTTGAATCATCATCAAAATCATCTCTTGGGAATGTAGGGACATTTCCATCAATCTCCCCCTCATTGCTTTCAATCTCCCCCTTTTTTATGATGATCAAGGAAACACCTGAAATGAATTAAAATGCTTGACTCTATATATCCAGCTCAAGATTAGTAGTCTTCTTATTTAGACCAACCACCTAGTATTTGCAATTTGTCAAGACAAAAACGAAACAAACATAAGCAAAATAAGTATCCCTCCTCTTGCTCCTGTCAATTCCTCATTCGACAAAAGAGAAATCAAATCATATTCAATCAGGACCAGACACTAAACCCACACATTCAGAGAAACATAAATAAGTTCACATAATTGCACACACAATTAGCCTCAACCACTAACTACCAGCTACCCAAATCAAACTAACAAATCCAGTCCAAAACATCAAGCATATATAAAAGAAAAAGAAATGAAACTAGCATAACAACAAAATAAGTATATCTCTCTTCGTTTAATGAGGGAGAATCCAAACATGGAAAAAATTCAGACAGGCAAAAAATATAATCAAACCTCCTCAGCTCAGACAAAATTGTGGGTTCGACTAGTAGATGACTCGCAGGTGACGATTTAGATCGCAAGGATGGTGGCTGCGGAGAAGGCTACGGCTGGTGCGGTGGTTATTTGGGTGAGATAAAGGACTGGTGGTTAGGACATGGTGGAGCTGAGGAGAGGGTAGCGAAGACAGAGGGGCACTTGGCCTTAATGGCGAAGGTGTGGGTGGATGTGATGATGAGGGGAGAAGGGGAAAGAACGTGGCGACGATTGTACCGCGTAGATCTAGGGTTGTGCGGTGATGGTCACGGTGATGGGTGCTGGTTAGTGGTGGTCGGTGCAGGGAGTTGGGATGCGTGGTGTATGTGAGTGAGGGCAGACCAGGGGCGTGGTGTGACCGCGAAGCTTAGGGGTGCAGGCCGTGAATAGGTAGATAGTGGGTGGTTGGAGTTAGCCAGGGGGTGATTTGAGAAAGGAGATGGTGGCTGTAAAATGGTGGTGAATGGTGAGTGAGGTCGGGACAGGGGAGAAGGAGTAGAGTTTGGTTCAAAAGGAGGGGGGTGGTCACGCGCACAGGGGATGAAAATTTACTTTTTATTTTTTAATTACACATCCGTAGGTAAATGAATAGGTAAAATAGTAAATAAGCATTACCTACCTCTTACATTTGTGGGTAGGATAATCATCTTATCCGTGGGTAAATTCCGTAAGTAATACATAATTTACATACGGATAAGATTCCATAGGTAATATCGTAGGTAATGTATATTTTACTTACGGATTTTTATCCGTAGATAAAATTTTGTAGATAATAGACTTTTTTTTAAGTGTATTATTTATTCAAATAAATTTTAAAATTTAAACTAATATTTCTAAACGTAAATTTAAAGTAATATTTTTAAAAGATACAACAACATTATATTTATTTTATTCTAAATGACTTTTTATATTAAATGATATAATTATTATATATAAATTTATAGTTAGTATTGTACTAAATGATTTTAAAAGATAATTTTTATTAAATGATATAGTTAGTATATATAAATTTAACAAATTTTAAATTTCATTAATTAAATTTACAGTAAATAATAATTATTTTGTTTAAAATATATATATATATATATATATATATATATATATATATATATATATTTCATGTTATCACTTTTTTTTATATGTTATACAAAAGGTTGAAAAAAATATATATTAGTTACTAAAATATATTTTGTTTTTAAATATTATTTTTTGAAGTGAATAATAGTATAGATATATTTTATTTTTTAACATTTTTTTAAATAAATTAATAATATAAAAAACATATCAAAAGATAAGTATAGAATTTATTTTAAAAATATTTTTAAATTAATTTTTGTATGATACAAAAATAATTTTTAAGTGTATTGAATTTATATTTATTAATATTCAAGAAAAAAAGTTGTTTCATCGTCAATATAAACAATATAATAATAATAATATATTTTTCAGTTATTAAATATCAAATGTCTCTTTGATTTGAGTGCAAAAGCAATCGATGGCTTACTTGCTTATTGTCTAATTATTAAAAGCCTTTCCACAAGCGAATAAAATTTCTAGGTCTTATTCTCAGTCTCCAAAAGTTATTCATGAATTTGGACATGATTTTATATCAAAATTGATGTTTGCGTTAATGATTGCATTCTTTATCTAGGTAATTATTTGAAATTAACATTTTGTCCAATATGTAAATTTCTTTAATATAAGGATCTAGATAAAAAGTTACCTTAAAAAGTTATGCATTATTTTCTTTTAGCCCCGAAGTTACAACAATTATATGTATCTACTAATATCGCTAAAGAAATGACATGACATAAAGACAAACTTTTTGATAAAGATGAAAAAAATAAGACATGCAACTGACTCTATTGCTTGGAAGAATTTTGATTCATAATATTCACCATTTGCGCCAGATTCACGCAATGTTAGACTTGACCTAATAAGTGATGGTTTTGATCCATTTGAAAATATGAGTACATCATATAGTATGTAATCCGTAGTTTTAATTCCTTATAACTTGTCACCTTAGATGTGTATGAAAGATCCTTATTTCATAATTCAACACTTATTCCAAGTTTGAAATCTCCTAAAAATGATATTGATGTGTACTGACAACCTTTGATTGATAAATTGAAAGAATTATGGGAGAACGGTGTAGAAATATATAATGCATCAATGAAAGAAACATTCATTTATATGCATTGATTTTGTGGATTTAATGATTTTTCCGGGATGGAACACAAAAGGAAAATTTTCTTGTCCTTGTAGTAACAAGAATACATGATTCCTAAGTTTACCAAATGAAAAAAAAAAATTGTTATATGAGAAGTCGTCAATTTTTTCACTTGACCATTCTTAGAGATATAATACAAAAGCCTTTAATGGAAAGAAACAAAAAAATACCAGATCCGAGACAATTACGTGGAGATGATATAGTTTAACAATATCAATCAGGTTAGTATCATTATGTGTTTTTGTTATTTTAAATAATATAATTAAATACAAAATGTTGTTATGTTTATATTATTTTTTTAATTTAAATATTAAATAGTTATCTTAAAAAAATTAAAGTCAATAAGATATTTTTCTTATTCATTTAAATATAAATTATAAATTTAAGAAACTCAAGCTGTAATTTACTAAAATAAAATCAAATTAATATAAAATAGGGCGTAACTAGATAACTAATTTTATCTTTATAATATAAAATCTAGATTAAAATAAGAATATTATCTGTTTTATATAATTCTTAAAATGTTTTAAAAATTTAAGCATGATTTTAAACGTAAATTTAAACTAATAATTTTAAAAGATAAAACAAAATTATTTATTAAACTAACTTTGTTTTGAAATATAAAAATTTAGGATTCAAATAAGAATATTATTTTTTATATTATTTATTCAAATAATTTTTAAAATTTAAACTAATATTTCTAAACGTTTAGTATTATGATAAATGATTTTAAAAGATAATTTTTATTAAATGATATAGTTGGTATATAAATTTAACCAATTTTAAATTTTATTAATTAAATTTACAATAAATAATCATTATTTTGTTTATTTAACTATAACGCTATTTCCACTCTTTAAATATATACATTTTTTCCTTTCTCATATTTTTACTATTTTTTAAATATATAAATTATAATATTTATTTATTTTTAACTTTAAACTTTTACTTTTTTCTATCCTATGATATTTTTATTATTTTAATAATAATTACTTTTATTTTAATTTTAATATATAAATATTTTTTAAAATGGATCAGTGTACCAACCTCGCCTGTCTTTTTAGCTCATCAAGGTTGGTAGACTAGGTGGGCAGACCAAAATGAGCTCACAAGCTAAAACTAGTAGCCTATCCTACCATTTTTAAGCGGATTGATGGGTCGGTCCGCTGAATCTAGTATGTTTTGTCATCCTACTCTTTATATATAATCATAAATATTATTAGCTCATGAATTTTTTATTATTTTTTGTTTTTATTAGTATTCTCCTACTTATACTTCTAATAATAAATGCATGTGATATTTGGTTAATTTAGGAAGAAAAGAAAGCAACAAAAAAATTCAATTACCTTAGAATTGAAAAAAGAAATGAAAATGTCTAAAATTCCATCATAATCTAGATGTCATGCATATTGAAGAAAAAAAAACATGTTTTTATAACATAATAGGAAAATTGATGAATCTTGAGAAAAAAGATAAAAGATATTTTAAACTCCCGGTTTGATCTAGCTTATACAGGTATACTACCAAAACTTCATGCAACCATGATTGAAGAATGAAAATACATATTCTCTCATGCATGTTACACGATGTCATATAGGGAAAAGCATGCATTTTGTCAATTTCTTATTGATTTAAAGGTTCTAGATAATTATTTATCTAATATTTCTGGTTGGATAAATGTCAAGGGGGAGGGGGGAGATATATGGGATAAAATGTCATGATTGTCATGTAGTTTTACATTATTTTCTCCCTTTTCGATTTGTGGTGTTGTTCACAATGAAGTTTGTGAGACTTTAATTGAACTAATTTTTTTTAGAGAGTTATACTCTAAGACATTAAGTTTAGAGAGCCTAAACTTTCAAGAAAAAATTATAGTTTTAAATTTGTGTAAGTTGGAAAAAATATTCCCTCCTTCCTTTTTTGACATAATGATCCATCTACCATAGATGAGACAAAGATTGTTGGACTACTAAATATCGTTAGATGTATCCTACCTTTGTAGGTTTAGATCATATTTGAGGAATAAGGCTCGTCGAGAAGGATGGATTGCTGAAGCATATATTGCACAAGAGTGTGTGCATTTTTGTTCAAGATATTTGCATGGAGTTGAAACAAGATTGAATAGATACAAAATAAATTATGAAGGTGATCTAAATTGGTTAAATAAATCAAAGTTACATTTTTTTTAGAAGTTGGTAAACCATTACATGGGAAAAAAATATGTTGAGCTAAATATAGTAAAACAAGAGTAAACAAGAATTTATATTCTTCAAAATTGTGATGAAGTCTCACCTTTTGTTCAATAAGTGGTTTTCTTAAATTACATATTTATATTATTATTGTAAAACTATAATTTATTGTATTCTTGCATTTTATGATCAGGTTACACAAACAAGATTTGGAAAAAACAAATTCACAAAATGTGGAACAAAGACAAAAAATAATTCTTTCAATGGTTCAAAATATATGTACGTATGTTTCTTTTTTTGTACTATCATTATATAACTTACAGATTATATAACTTATAGAATATTTAAATTACATTTTATATTGAACAGGTTACACTTTTGAATAAAAGAAGAGGATAAAAGTATAAACGAATCATTATTTTGCTTGGCTTATAGACTTGACACACATGCTTTTCGATACATAAGTTATTTGATAAATGGTTGGAGGTTTAATACAAAGGATCATGATATGCACTTGAAATAACAAAATAATGGAGTTTTAATTAGAGGTGACCATAATGCAAGTAATCTTGATTACTTTGGTGTCTTGACATATATTATTGAATTAAGTTACTCAAGTGGAAACAATGTTGTTTTATTTAAATGTGATTGGTGGGATGTGTGATTGACATATCCTTTATTTTCAGTTTTAAACTTATTTTCATTCAATTGTAATAAATTGGGTTCAATGTCCATAACTTTTCCGTTCATCTGACCTTTGTTTACTATTTTGACCATAACTTTTTTTTTTGTAAATATTAGTTATTTTTTGTTGATTCAATTTGTATTAGATTCTACATTTATAGGACTTTTAAATTGATATATGATTTGTTGAATTTAGAAATCTATGTATTTTTTATGATGTTTAGAATTTGAGATAAATTTGTTGAAATTTTATAAAGAACCCATATATATATATATATATATATATATATATATATATATATATATATATATATATATATATGTTTATTTGTATTAGCTCTATTAGAACCAATGACAAAATTCAAAAAAGGGAAGGGGTTGAATTGAACTTTTTAAAGTTTTTCACAAGACCGAAATGCTAGAAAAAAGGAACAATAGAACCATTACTTAATTATTTGAATACAAAAAATAAATACAATAATAAAATATAGAAAAAAAGGAAGAATCAATACACACAAATTTATATTGATTTACTCAATTATTTGAATTACATCCAATTTCCCTAACTACATAATGAATATCACTAATATCAATATTCAACATGCAACTAAGTATAATCATCCTATCTACCACATAAGCTTCTTTAACTTCCAAAATCCATTTTAAATCAACTTGGATTGACCTAATGGTCTTCTAATCTTCAATATCCTGGCCTATGTTTCATACTAACATTCAATGACTAACTAGAAAAATATACATTATAAAATACTAGAATGACCATTCAATTCAACCTTACATTTTTATTGAAAGTCAACTGAATTTTAAAGAATTTTATAAAAGAAATAAAATTACTTTATAATTTTCAAGATATTTTTATTATAAATAAAGAATGTATCGGAAAATACTATCAAGAATAGGTTGTTAATACTCTGTTAAAAAGTTGTTTTCCACCCACCACTAACTTTGAAATAATTTTAATTAGGCCACAAGGACACACATTGTTTTCATGGCAACAAGTGCTGCTAAAGTTGTTCCATCTCGGCGGTGTCTTCCTTCTACTTTTCATTTTTGAAATCTTACCATTTTGAGTTTTGATCGAACATTTCACTTATGAAGTTGAAATTTTGAAAAGTGACTTCGTACACTTAATCCATCCCGTTAGAATCTACTAATCAGATTCAAGACAAATTTAGGATATCTTGGATCTAAACCCAAACCTTGTGAATGGCCCAAATCAAGAATATCTCAATATATGAACTTTAGGTAATTCATCAACTACTGCAGCAGATAGACCACCGTAGCAACCTTTTGCAGCCTGCGGCAAGAGCTGCTACTTACAAACCTAGAAATCAAATCAGACCATGAAGTCTTCCCTTTCACGAAATACAGAACATAATGTTCTTAAAAAATGTCAACACATCACTATGTTTAACTATTACTATGTTCACCAATAGGAACTGTAAGCAATCATTCAACAAAAAGAAGTGAAGTTAAATGGAACTTTCACAAATCAAGTTCGAGTTATCAAATGCAAAAGGATTTATTCCACCTTTCTTCGACAGCTACATGTCAGTCATATAACAAAGAGAATATCTTCCAAAACAGAGCCAACCATATTGGTGTGAATTTGACATGGATGGTCATCAAGAGCATAAGTCTAAGTAATGTCATTTCACCATACTATTTTCCACCTTCTCCATTGAATTATGAGGAGCATAAGGGAATATTATGGAGTCCATCACTACAAAACTAATAATTACAATGCAGGCAGCATGATGTCATGCTGATAATGTTAAAGAGTATAGCTGATTGCCATGACGAATTATATTTGTTGACTTCAGAGATGCCTCACGCTAACCAATTCGATATCAAATATAACTGTTCCTAAAGTGGAGCCTTCTCCATTTGCAAGGCGAGTTGGATTAAAAATGGTAGTGAACAGCCTCTGCCTGTCAAAGAACTTTTGTTTTGGAGGAGGAAGGTTGAAGGAATACGACACACATTAATACAAGAACAAACTTAGAGATTGACAGTATAATAATATTCATTTAAATGGTTCATTATACAAAACAGAGAGAAAAGAAAAGTGGATCATATCTTTTTCCAACATTCAGATACTGCCACGATAGTAATCATTTTCAATTTGAAACGACTTTACTCAGCTAGGTTCTAGCAGGAAATTATTAAAAAACATTTTTTTCCCCTGTTTTGTGCGTACCAACAATATTCTAGGGTAACAAGTGCGCCTCATGATGTTTTAAATATTAATTGTAATGATCCAACACATAAGAATGAGAATTAAGTCTGTTTTTATTTCTTCACTTTTTTCTGAGAAGCTGCTCTGGCCTACTAGAATCAGAGTCCAATATTAGAAGACACTATAACACAGCCATAGGGCACATTGTGTGTCCTAAATGTTTCAGGGAAGCGTTTTTAGTGCTTACAATCTTCAAGGGGGTAAGAAAACATTACATCATCAGGCAATTAATTACAAGGAAATATTGGTGATAGATGTTTACTACTTTTCTCTGCAATCCTTGGTCCAACAACAGAAGAGATTATAGCGAAAAGATTACTTTGAAGATATTACAAGCACAAACATGGAATAAGTGTGGAGCAGAGAAAGTTTCTTACATTGGGTGGGATTGGCTCTTGTGATGTGTTTTGATACCCAAGTGATGGGGGTATGATGACCCTACGAATACCTCCTACTTTCATCGATCTCACTGCCACATCAATTCCAGCAATAGCCTACACAAGCATTTCCTTCTGATATGATATACATATATAAATATACAATTTATTACAAACTTTGAAGAACATTCATACAGACGTTACTTTCACAGTCCATCTCCAAAAACCTTGAGCGACAGTTTCACAAAATATAAAGATCCTAATCATAAGTTTAGGTAGTGGAAATATTTTCCTTTTACTCAAATAACATGACAGACAAAACTTGAATACATCTGCATTAAAATAATAATAAAACCAATTTTGAAATTTGCAGTGAAACTATATTCTGTCAAGTCATCTCTCTTCTATACCTTGCCAGAGCCAAGGACAAAGACAAATGGATTGGGATCGCCATTGTCATCTTTGTGGTCGTAGGTTGAGTCAAAGCGCCATCCTTGTTTTGCTGCTAGCCTGGCATAGTAGTGAATTGCGACCTTCAAAATATGAACAACGTATTTACAATGTTAACTGTCATGAAAAATCTCGTGTGGACAATAATATAATATTATAATATATAGTGAATCCACGAATACCCATTTTGCAATGATGATTTTATAAGATTGAACTATATTTCTTTCCATTTTTAAAATGATAGACAAGTAAACTCAAAATTAACTCTTAGAACATAACAAATTCCTATAAAGAGTATGATAAATGTCCTCATATAATAATATTATATTATATTACACCAGTTGATTTTGAAGGATTTAGTACCTCTCCGTTTCTATGCCAACTCGTAATAAACAAAATAAATTGAAAGATTTACGTTCATGCGCTAAATATATTGCCACAAATTATCTCACACTACCAACAAACTAAATCCATCACATAAAATCAGAGCCATATACAATAACAAATATTATCACCACTTTGGATTTTTGTGCGATTATCCAATGAAAAATTATTTTAAATATACTTTTTCAAGTAACTACAACTTAACATGTATGAAAATAACTTGTAGATAGCAATGTAAAAACTTCAGATTATTAATGCTTTCTAATTCAAGTTAAAAATTCGTACATTATATATGTAAAATTAAATGACAAAATTTAAGAGGTGTCAAGGGGAGAAATACCTGGTCCCCGTCTGAGGGAACTTGACCAGAACCATCAAGGAGGTCCAAAGCCTTAACTCCACCAGAATCGGGGATCTCAAAGAACTGAGATAAGGGGAATTTTGATGAAGGAGGGGGAAAAGAAGAGGAAGGAGGAGGAGGAAGTGAGAAGACGATTGCAGATAAAGTGGTGGAGATGAGAGAAAGAGAGAAAGGTCTTCTTGTTGTTGAGGATGATGCTGAACATGTTGCAAGCATGTTATTATTACATGGATACTTTGTGTATGGCAAAGGGGCACAGACACGTGGAGCAGTTGCAGTGACACAGCATTCTATTATCGTCTTCATTTCTCAGTCGTCGTTAAAATAAAAGAACAAGTTCTTTTAACAACTTGTCCCATAGCAAATCGCATTTCAATAGTACTGCTTTCTTTTCCATTTTTGCCCCTTAGTTTTGTTGACTTGGAAATGAAACATGCCACGTAGTTAACTTCAAAAAAATAAAACTCTTTTTTTGGAGAGATATAACGAAGAAACCGCAAAACAAATGTCTTAATCATTCAAGATTTCAGTTTTTCTTTAAATAAATTTACAAAGTATTCTCAATATTGTTGTCTATTAGGGAGTTTCCCCTTTTTTTTTTTAATTTGAATTAGGAAATTCGCATTCAACCCAGTTTTGAATTTGGGTTTTATTGTTACATGTGAAGAATACGTTTAAATTTCTCTTCTACGGGGTCGAGTAGGTGAAAGAAAAGTAAGGGAGGTATATGCAAAACACATTTTGATACTTAACTAAATATATGAATGAAATTAAAGGAGAGTATGAATGAATTCAGTAAAAAAAAAATATATTGGACCTGTTTATATATGGATAAATAATCATAACTATTTGAGATAATAGAAATATTTGTCCTTATATATTAAGTGAATATTTTGGGTAATTTTCGAGAATCATGGAATGAGTTGGTATCTAATTATCTTAAGTATCTCCAAGATATTTAAGTATTCCTTGAGATATGTGATTGTGATATTTAATTATTTTGAAATCATATAGAAGTTCCTCAAACTCAAAATTCTCAAGGTATGTTAGTATACTAGAGATGAACAAGTTTATAGTCTCGTTTCTTAGTCTTTTCTTTTATGGGGATGGTAAAGAGAGTGTTTAAAATACATAACAATATAAGATATAATAAATATAATATATTTAAAAGAGTATAAAGATTGTGTATCTGGAATCGTTGAAGGATCCATAGAGCGTATATGAGAGAATATTGTTCTCTTTCTGATAGGTTACTATTGAACGTATTGTGTAAAGTGGTTTTCATGTTGTCACACCTAAAACTGACTAATGAGGTATCAGTTTTATACACTTATCAGTAGAAACCAAAGATCTTTCAATAAGTAACTGATTATGAACAATCCAACCCATCACACAATGTTCATCAGAAATCCAAATTAAATTATTATTCATAAAATAATGATAATGTGTAATATAATTAATAATTGATAATTACAAATATTTAATTTATTGATTAATGTTAATCCATAACAAATAGAGAATAATAATTTATATATATATATATATATATAATAAATTATATAAATACAACATTCTCCCACTTGGATAACATTAATAAATAAATAAATTATATCAATCACAAAACAAGTACAAGTATCAATTAAGAAATGTAAACATGAATCACAAAGATAATATCCAGATAGGGATGATTACCATATGTTTAGATTTCATAAATAATGGATAATAAATAAAATAAAACCAAACATAATAAATATGTGATCCCAAAATGGTTCATACATTTTATGTATCAAAGAAATGTAATGAAAATGACATCATTGATAAATTTATATCTCGTAAAAATCATAATAATATAAAATATGAATCTCAAACTCCCACTAACTCAGTACATCAAAAGACTTAACGACACCCATATGAGTTACATGATTTTGAAAAACTCCAATAGCTAAGCCTTTAGTCAATGGATCTGCTAACATATTTTCTGTAGCAGTATATTCAATTCGAGTTTGAAAATCCAAAACTTTTTCTCTAACAAACAGAAATTTTATATCAAAATGCTTTGAGCGAGTAGAACTTCTGTTGTTTTGAGAAAAATGTATGGCAATAGTGTTGTCACAATATATCACAAGTGACCTAGAAATACTTTCAACAAAGCCAGAAATCAAATTTTTAGCCACACAGCTTGACAAGTAGCTTCATAACAAGCAACATATTCTGCCTCCATAGTAGAAGTAATTGTAAGAGTTTGTTTAACACTCTTCCAAGAAATAGCTCCTTCTGCCAACTTAAATATAAAGCCAGAAGTAGATTTTCGATCGTCAGGACAACCAGCAAAATCAGAATCAGAATAACCAATGACTTTAAGTTGATCAGACTTCTTATAGGTCAACATATAATCCTTAGTTCCCTGCAAATATCTAAAGACCTTTTTAACGGTTTTCCAATGACCCAAACCCGGGTCGCTCAAGTATCTTCCTAAACATTAACAGCAAAAACAATATTGGGACGAGTCAATGTCAAGCCAAACCCAATTGTCATGCTGTGAAACCCAACGCAAACCCAGCGGAGCTCGAACCCTAACGCATACCCTAGTGACGTCGAACTCTAACCTCGAGCCAACCCCCACTTTAATTCGGTCACAATTAGCAATTGATTGATTGCTCAAGGATGTGTAAAAGATGATATATTCAATGTATGTTAAAAAAGTTCAAGCCAAACTGTTTTTATAGAAGATTTTCAAAATTGCTGGTTTAATTAATCTGTTAAAAGATTCTTTTAATCTGTTAAAAGTGCAGTTTTAATCTGTTAAAACTTCTTTTAATCCATTAATACGTTCTTGATTCTTTAACAGATTTGTTTTAACTGATACGACAACGTTTATATCAATTAAAACACTTTACAAAAAATCTTCTAAGTTGATTTAATCGATTGTTTCGCGATTCAATCGATTGAAATACTGCAAAACTTTCTCGTAAAACTTTTCAAGTTATTTTAACTGATAAAAATAAGTTTTAATCGATTAAAACGCTGTGCAGAAATTGTTTTAATCGATTGAAACGAGATTTAATCGATTAAAATAGTTTTGATCGGTCATAACTGCATTCTGATCGATCATAATTGAAACGATATAATAGCGGTTCTAGGTTAACCGCTATCTAAGTGAGCTTTTAAGAGCGGTTCCTGTGTAACCGCTATCTAAAATGTATTTCGCTTGAGTGACACTATTCTCGCTCGAGCGAAACGCCCCCTACACAAAATTGGCATTCTCGGGTTGTATTTCGCTTGAGCGACTCTAGTCTCGCTCGAGCGATATTTGATTCTGATCGATTAGATTTTCGAAATGATCGATCATATTTGATAATTTTTTCAAATAATTAATTATAATCGATTAGTTTTCTAAATTATTGATTAAAATTGATTAGTTTTTCAAATAATAGATTAGAATTGATTAATTTTTGAAATATATACTAAAAAATTATAATTAAAAATATAAATTAGTTAAGAATATTGACTATTGTAAAAATAAAGTAGAACATGGGAGGAGATGAGGATGATAATATAATGATAGAACTTACAAAAATGTAGAATTGAGAAGTTTGAAACAAATAAAATTAAGAAAATAGATATTTAATTACACTTTTAATAAATTTAAGATAATACTAGTTTTGATTTTTATTTTTAAATATTTATTTTAATTATTTAAAACAGAGAAACTATAATTTTAGTTTCTAGCTACTGAATTTAAAGAATTAAATTTATTATTATTTAATCTTTTAATTTTAGTATTAAAATTTTAAATTATATTTTATTAAATTAAAATAATTACAATATATTTTTCTACTTTGAGAATGAACAATATAATTAAACTCAAAATTGACAATATTATAATACATTTTTGAACTCTTTTGGATTAATTTTTTTTCCTAATTTTTGATAAAGTTAATTTTAATATTTAAAAATATTTAACATTTTGAATTCGAAAGGTTTTCTCTAATAGAAAATTTAAAAACATAATATAAAAAAATAGTTAATGTAAGTTTTCATTATGATCGGTCATAATTGCATTCTGACCGATCATAATTGAAACCATATAATAGCGGTTCCAGGTTAACCGCTATCTAAGTGAGATTTTAAGAGCGGTTCTCGTGTAACCGCTTATCTAAATCTGTATCTCGCTTGAGCGACAACCTTCTCGCTCGAGCGAAACGCCCCTACACAAAATTGGTATTCTCGGGTTGTATTTCGCTTGAGCGACTCTAGTCTCGCTTGAGCGATATTTGATTCTGATCGATTAGATTTTCGAAATGATCGATCATATTTGATAATTTTTTCAAATAATTAATTATAATCGATTAGTTTTCTAAATTATTGATTAGAATTGATTAGTTTTTCAAATAATAGATTAGAATTGATTAATTTCTGAAATATATACTAAAAAATTATAATTAAACTATAAATTAGTTAAAAATATTGACTATTGTAAAGATAAAGTAGAACATGGGAGGAGATGATGATGATAATATAATGATAGAACTTACAAAAATGTAGAATTAAGAAGTTTGAAACAAATAAAATTAAGAAAATAGAGATTTAATTACACTTTTAATAAATTTAAGATAATACTAGTTTTGATTTTTATTTTTAAATATTTATTTTAATTATTTAAAACATAGAAACTATAATTTTAGTTTCTAGCTACTGAATTTAAAGAATTAAATTTATTATTATTTAATATTTTAATTTTAGTATTAAAATTTTAAATTATATTTTATTAAATTAAAATAATTACAATATATTTTTCTACTTTGAGAATGAACAATATAATTAAACTCAAAATTGACAATATTATAATATATTTTTGAACTCTTTTGGATTAATTTTTTTTCCTAATTTTTGATAAAGTTAATTTTAATATTTAAAAATATTTAACATTTTGATATAATGAGCATGATAATATAATGATAGAATTTACAAAAATGTAGAATTGAGAAGTTTAAAAAAATTTAAGAAAATAGAGATTTAATTATACTTTTAATAAATTTAAGATAATACTAGTTTTTAAACCTTTTTCTAATATTTGTTTTTAAAAATATAATATCATTTTTAATATTTTATAGATTTTATATTTATATATTTATAAAAGTAATTGGATTAAATTTATTATCCTCTCATATATTATTATACATTTAGCGTAATTTTAGTTTATTTAAAAATTAGAATACAAATATACTATACCAATATACCATTATATTATTTTCATTGTATATAAATTACAAAATTAATAATTTGTATACTATACTATACTAACA